CTTCCATTAAAACACTATCTAATTAGGCCAAAGTCCAAATTTTAACTTTCACTGCCTGAGTCACTAATGGTATCTGGGAGATTGTGACGTAAAAAACTTACACGTAGCCTAAACTCACTTATGCACACTAATCTTCTCTAACATGGGTGCAACGTAATGTTTCCCAGTGGCGGATACTAGACTACGGCTTATTCACAAGTGGGAGGAGTCTTGGGGGTCGTCCATAAATGACGTCACACTCGTAGGGGGAGGGGGGGGTCCGTAATTTTGTGACGGTGTGTGATGAGGGGGAAAGGGGGGGGGGGGGTTCAGATGGTGCGACGTCACTCTTTTGTATTATTAAAAAAGCAATGTTAGAGAACGAATTTTAGACGTTACTTTGCGTTTTAGAAAACTTGTTTTAATAAATTGTAATAGGAATTGATTAACATATTCTATTTTGGACAGAGTTCAGATAAGATTTTGGAAAAAATATCGATGTCTAAAAAAAAAAATTCAACTTCAAATCTCAGGGGGGGGGGGGGGGGGGGGGGGGTGGGGTGGGTGGGGGGGGGGTTGTAGGGTGAGGTGTGAAAGTCATTTTAGGGGGGGGGGGCTGGCTTTTTGTGACGACATGGTGACGGAGGGGAGGTAAATCGTCTTTTATGGATGACCCCTTGTCACAAAAAAGCCTCCTCCAAATGACAATACCATACCTCTTTGTCTCCCTTTAAAACACCCTAAATTTTAATAAAATCTACTTTTTTTTTCAAGCCCCCCCCCCCCTCCCCAAACGCATTGACGTCAGATCATTTATTATTTAACTACATTATAAAAACGATAGAAGTTAATTTAGGGTTCAGACTAATATTTTATAAAATCTAAAAAAATTTGATTATTGTAAAACATTAATTTCATAGTTTTCAATACTAATTAGCAGTTAGTAGTCTAGTAGTCTATGGCAGTTAAGACTTAACTGTTAAGTAGGATGATCGATCCTTGCTCCGGACTTTAATCACCTATGTTTTAGACCTTAGAGGCCGAAGTCCACTTATGTTTAGGCTACTTGGCCTATATATGTCAAACAACGGTCGTTAACCTTGATATTACATAACACGTGGAAGCGTAGGCTTTGTCCACGTTGACCCGTTGACCCCCGGCTGGTTGTGTCCAGTTTAACGGGTGTGGGGAAATTGCGAGACGCGAAAAGCGAAATGGCGAGGCGGGAAAATGCGAGAAGGGCGCGAAAACGGTCGATCACGTGACTTTTTTGTCTCGCATTTTACCACAAGCCGATACTTACGCTGGGTGGTGTTGAAATGCGAAGATTTCTGCGAAAAAATTTACCGCACCCGATTTTCAGTGGTATCTGGTCCAGACTTCAAAGACGTTTCGTTTACATTGTTAAAACTTCCGATTTTTTCCGTCGCTAGACATACTGATGATTTTGTCAACTCCCCCCATCTTTTGTGTCGACTTAGAATACCACCCTTGTTCGAAACCGACGGAAATACCGCCGACGATAGATCAACTTCTGTCTTTTGTGTGGAACGCCGAGGCCGCCTGATTTACCGTCTTTGAAGATCGCCGTGCCCGGATCCGCTGCCGCCGCAAACATATTTTCTATTGTTGCATAGAAATTGTGTATTATAGCCGCCGCCTACGATTTTTTTTCTAGCTTTTTACCATATAAATCTAAGCACAAGGAAATGCCTACATCATTTGGATACAACAAAATAAAGTGACGTCACCGATATTATCAGTTGCTCGTGCTATATCGTAAGCTATGGGCCTACTTCAAATATTTTTAAAACCAAGTTGAACTTATCTGAATTTTTTGGTTTTGGTGGTGGTGTTATTTGGGGTCTTCCATAAATGACGTCACACTCGTAAGGGGGGGGGGGGTCTGTAATTTATGTCGATGTGTGATGAGGGGGAGGAGGGGGGGGGTTAGATGTGAAGTCACACTATAAAAACGCAATTTAGAAAAAGAATTTTAGACGTTTTTCGCGTTTTAGAAAACTGTTTTAATACATTGTAATAGGAATTGATAAAATACTCTATTTTGACCGAAATTAGACAAGATTTTGGAAAATATCGATGTTTTAAAAAAACTCAACTGCTGGTGACAACAATGAGCAAGACATTGCCAAAATTACAGAAATGATAAAAAATACAACTTATAAAAAACGGAAAACCGATGTTGAGCGTGCGAATGATGATGATGAGAACATGGGTGCCAGTGTTGTTTGTGGGATGAACGAGGAGGTCAACTGTGATGAGAATGTGAAATGTTGTGAATGTGGATTGGAAGAAGTAGCAAAAGAAAAATGTATAAATGGGAGTCTAATGAACTGGGTTGGGTGTACTATGTGTGAAAGATGATGTCTCTAGGTGTGTTTGAGGACTGTTTCAGAAGATTTTGTTTGTAAATTTTGTTTGTAATTAAAATTACTTAATAAAAAAAAATTGCACTTTTTAGAATTGTTTATACTTTTACACTTTTTGCAAGTACAAAAATCCATAAATAGATGTTGCAAAATATCTCTCCTGCTGACAAGATTATACCAATTCACAATGACACAGCTCACGTTTGTATAAACATGAGCGGGCTAGGTTTTTAAATTAATGCCGACTGAGACGGGATTTTCCTCTCGCTAACAAGAGCGGGCGATGACAGTAGCACAGCAACGATGTTAGGATTTTTAAATAGATAGATCTAGATATAGATCTATATATCTTCTTAGTATCTAGATAAAAAATAACAACATACAACACTCGTGTTAAAGGGTATGGCTAAATTCTTGTTTATTTTAAAACAAAAAAAAATAATTTAAATAAATAAAGATGGAAAAAAAAGGAAAAAACTTTTTTCGCAAAAAGTGTCTCGCTATTTACCCTTAATTCCGCAGGTATGTCTCGCATTACCTTCTCGCATTTTCCCGCCTCGCCATTTCGCTTTTCGCGTCTCGCAATTTCCCCACACCCCAGTTTAACCGTCTCGTCCGACATCACGTGCCTGGTGATTCATTGGTCTGTTGGTGGAGATTGTCACGTGTCAGTCTCTGTTTAAATAACACTACAAGCAGTCTATAAGACTATACATGGAAAGGTGAAAGGGGGGGGGGTAAAATAGCCTATTATAGTGTCCAGTGTCTGATGAATCTATCAACACTTATAAAAAAGGGGGGGGGGTGGGGTTAAGTAAAAGTTGCTTGTAGAAAACTGTTTGATATTTTGTCAAACTTAATTTAAGTAATTTAAGTTTTATGTTTAACTTATCCCTAAATGCCTAACCAGTATAAAAGAACGAGTTATGGGGTGGGGGTTAACCCTAGACGACAGCCCCTTGTAATTGGCTTGGTAAGGAAATCTTCCCAAGCCAGTTAGCCCATTTTTTGCATTATTTCGGCAGTTTATAGCCCACAACATATGACTGCTTGCAATTAGCTGAAGCTTATAGCACCTAAATATGAATGCTAACATGATTCTGCAGCTTATAGTATCTAAAAGTGAAAGTTTGCAATATGCTGCAGTTTACATAACCTACAAGTGACTGCTTGCATTTCGCTGCAACTTATATCACCTAAATGTCAATGCTTACATGCCGGTGCAGTTTATAGCATCTAAAACTGAAAGTTAGCAATATGCTGCACCACTAACTGGCATGAATTTTATGGAATCTTAGTGTAAACTTAAGTATTACATATTACAGGCCTTTCACTATACTGGTACTTAACATTTATTTATTTATTGGCATTGCTAATGTGTAGGGTAGGCACTTATGGGCAGCATTATTCTTGGGAAAATATAAAGAATTGTGTGTATGTGGGCGGTAGGGCATAGTTTTTCGTAGGCATCTGTCTTTAACTTAAAAGTGTGCTTAATTAAGATCTTTGCAAATTATTAATGTCCTAAATTTATGTCCAAATTTAACCCACTTGCCTACTAATCTCAGCATTCTTCTAAAAGTTAGCATAACAACATACACAAGACAATAATTCTTAAATTTTTAATATTCTCAAGAGAAATAAAAACAAAAATTTACAATAAAAATACTATTAATAAATGTACATATCTACAGGTATTTAACATAAAATACAAATGTTTGATTATTAAATCAGTTTAAATGCCTTTAAAAAATGAATAGCATCTACATTAAATGGACTGGCTTAAACAGCAATATTTTTATTTAAAATATCATTTTTTGGTATTATAAAAATAGCTACTACTTAATAGAAGTATTTTCAAATAATTCAGGCTAAACTTCAAGAACAGAGCATGAGAATATAATCTTGAACACTTTTTAAATAGAAAAAAAATTTCATTAATGAACTAGCTATGACACATCAGGAGCAAATGATGATGGAACCTGAGTTTTAAAAAAATATTTGACACAATACCCGTTCTATATTTTAAGAAATCAACTAACAACATACTAACGTGATCTTTTGTACACTGCTTACAAATATATTATTTCTTTCAGTTGCAGACAAGCATTTCATTTATCAGATTTTTATGAAATGTAATTATAAGGTTACACAGTTCAAAAATGTTCCTACTACGCTTGCATTCATTCATCACAAAGCAGCTGTCTATAGACAGAATACAAATTGGGTTGCATACAAGTAGAAAGCTGATTGCCAAATACAATAGTGGAGTGCCTAAAACAATCTAATATAAAAACATAGTGGCACTTGTAAGGATGTTTTATTTACAACCACTGGATTTTTTGTGTGTTATTAACTTTTTGTGTGCTTTTAACAACTTATATTAACGATGATTCATTGATTTGTTTTTGTTGTTGTTCACTCAAATTTTGGCAAGTGTTTACAAAGTACTCAAGGTTTCTCAGCATAAAAAAGTCCCCAGCGTTGGTCTCCCAGCCTTACTCTATCCTGTTTTTCTTTCCATCCATCCACAATAGACCTGTATCCCTCTTCATCAAATTCCTGGAATAAAATTTCAAAACATTATTAATGCAACCAAATGTTCAAAAAGTATTTGTATAAAATAGTAGGGAGCCTGAGGTTGATCACAACAGAGTACTGCTGTCATATCAATGTGTGTTATACAAAAACAGTAAGATGAGTTAACCCACACATGTAGGTACATTTAAAAATGAAAGCAACAGGTCATCAGCATATCACTGTAAAAGTCATTTAGTTGACTTGTGAACTCTTCTATTTGTCAAACAAACATTTCCTAACAGGGAACATTGCCATTTCTTAAGTGTTAAATAAACTCACATTTAAAAATTCGTCTTCCTTGATTACCATGTTTAAAGTATTAAAATAAACTCACATTTAAAAATTCGTCCTTGATGCTCTCTGCTCTGGCAATCTCTGTGTTCAGACTGTCAGCGAACTGTTGGGTTCTGTCCTCAGCTCTCACATTAACAAATCCTGCCTCCTCCAGAACCTAAGGGTTAATAGAAGAAATTAAACATTATTGAATGGAGATACTGATTTTTTATAAATATACTATAAGATGTAAATCAGATATATATTAGCTAGTATCCAGCAAACATACAGGACATAGTACAGGACACACAAAACATGTTACAACAATCTTAAAGAGAACACATTGGAAATCATCAAAACAAATCATTTAGAAATTAAGATAAATGTATCAGTAAGTTCAACATGAAACAAAAAACAAGTTTTGATGTTGTTGCAAGTAAGCTCTATTGCTAGGCCTTCACTAATTGTTACTGTTTTATCATAGGCTTTTATTTTGTTATAACTATTACTACAGGCTTTTATTCTATGACAATTATTATTTTATCAAGATAAATTACACGAAAGACAAACTGGAGATAATGCATCAGGACAGAGAACTCCAGGAGGTGTGGCAGCAAATGCTGATATATTCTGCTCTAACAAGGTGTAGTGTTGACAAGAGAAAACATTTCTTACTTTTCCATAAGCTGCAGGAGACAGAAGGTTGTAGCCTCTCTGTTCAACATAAGCCTTGAACTTTTCACAATGCTCATCAGGGCTACAGCAGTAATCAGAAATAAGAACTTTTCCTCCAGGCTTTAAGAATTTCTGAAGTATAAAAAAAATAATTGTTTTTGTCATGTATACTGAAAATAAAATAGGCCTAGTTATTGATGTTAATTACAACACTGAATGTTTGAAACATATTTGAAAAGAGTTCTAAAGTTCTTATAGTTACTGGATAGAACCACTTACAAAGAATTTTTTAAACAATGCGAGCTTGTCGGCAATGTGGAGAATGACATCACGACTGTATATGACATCAAATGATTCTGCTGGGTACTCTCTCCTTGTTGCGTCTGCTACCTCAAAGACAACTTGGTCAGGACCAACGCCCACTTCCTGGGCTCTGTCCAGTCCAATGTGGGTCATGTTAGATGACAGGTCTATGATGGTTACCTTCACGTTGTAATTCTGTGCAGAAAAATAAAACAAACATTTTGAGTGTACATGTAAATGGATATTAATAACAAATTAAACAATTGTTTTAGAATTTAGAATTTTCGTTTATTAATCTAAGTTTGAAATATGAACACATTTTTTTTTTCTAAATTCATTTTAGATAAAACTTACCTTTGCCATATAAAATGCACTGCCGCCAATACCACCACCAACATCCAAAACTTTTTGTCCCTTCTGAAGATTCAACAACTCCACAAATTCCTAATTCAAATGAATATTGCCATTAATACATTTGAAATAGAGTAAGCCTTCACTACTAAAAAGGATAAAAAGTATATACTATGATAAAAGGTAAAAAAAAATACCTTTGTTGTTTCTAAGCCACCTGTACTGACAAAAGCTCTGCCGTAAATTTTTTCGTACAGGAGAATACCTCTTGTAGAGTACTGCTGCATGTCAAGAAACTCTCTGAAACTCTTGAAGCCATGATTTCTAGAGTTATCCTTCTTTGCTTTCTCTAGCAGCCACAACATTTGGTTGTTGTTATTTTTTCTCTGGATAAGAAAAGAAGCATTAAGTTTACATTTAACAAGCCAGTTTTATGAAAATGCATTTTATGTCCATTAGCTTACTACACCATGTGATAGAGTTGGTCCAATGTGTTATAAATATGTACTACTCCAATTGCCAACATTTTTTATAAAAACACAAGTACATATATAAAGAAGTAAGAAATTATAAAAACTTGATTAGAGTTTATATCATACTCTAGTCCATTTAGTTTTGAAATTATAGAGTTGTACTGGAAGTCATAAAGCATTGAGTACTATAGCTGCAGTCTTCTGCTAAGATAATTATCACTTCAGTTTTTTTTTTGCTGTCATTTATCAATGTGCTTTAGAAATATAAACTAAGTCTACACTGATTAAAGGGAGATAATATTATTCTGTAGAGAGTCGTCTTACCTTAATGTATGTGTGCACAGATTTAGAAACAACAAGATCAAATCCATAGAAGTTATTTTTGTCACAAGGAATGGTGACAGAGGAGTAATATGCTTCATACAGCTCAGGCTGTCTGTACTGTGTTGGGTTCACCCCTCTATCTTTGTCACCTGAAATAGTTTTACATGTTTAATTTACTGCTATGTTATGTTCATATAAGACAATCATTTGTGAATATTGAATAGAAATCCTGTAGACTCAATTCATCATAAGCCGTATTCACACATTATTAGCATAGGCTAACTAAACACACAAATGATTAGCAACAGGTTAACTTAACACACAGTGAAGGCTAATTTAACACTTACCTGATTGGTGCCTGCATGATTCCCTGATAAATAGATGTCCACCTGGTCTTAACCATGTCAACAATTTACCAAACAAATCTTGCACCTCCCTATCTTCCAAATACATTAGGAGCCAGTTGGAGAAAATCATATCCACACTGCAAATAAACAATACATAAATATATTTATTTGCATACATTTGCCAATCTCATGTGTTTTCAACAAAGCACCAAAGTTTAAAAAAAAAAAAAACGAATGAAGGGTAAAATAAATTTAAAATACTACATTTATAGTTTTATTTTCACATAACATTTACCTTTCCTTAGGTCTTTCCATTTTAGTAACATCAGCAACAACAAATTCAATGTTTCCCATGTGATAGTTTTCCTTCTTATTCTTTTCAACAAAGTCTTCCATAAAGTCCACAGCAACAACCCTCTCTGCTTTTTTGGCCAGCTCTGCTGTAAAGCGTCTGAAACAAATAATCCTTTTTGTAACAAGATGAAAAAACAATTTTATTTAAACTAAAGAAAGCATAAAAAAATTAGAGTATTGGCCTAAAAACACAAGTTCATAAAATTAATATTCAAATAATCATTTATAGTTTTAATTACCCTATGCCAGCACCAAGCTCAACAACAACTTTCCCAGTGAAATCTGGCAAGTAAGACAGAATCTCTGGAAGTTCTTCTTTGGTTAGCTCTTCAGCACATGTGTCTAACATCATCTCATTCACTGAGCCTTCTTTTGAATGCTCTTTCCAGTATTCCATCATTGCTTGCCTGATTTCTAAACAATGAAATAATGTTCCAAATTATAGTCATTTATATGAATTACAATTAAGCATATAAGTTTGTAAGTATTCATCTGAAACAGAGGCTTTAATGCATTAAATCATCTCCAAAATAAAAAGTTTTATTCAACAAGATTTCTGCATTCTTTGCTATTTGTTTTAAGTTTTAGATCCATTTAAAAAATATATTAAGATTTAACAACCAGTGTCAGATAGATCTCTAAATCAATTTAAATCATATACAAATGTCTACTTGGGAACCTCCCCTTTTTGGACTTCTGACTCATTTTTAAAAATTGTTTTTGAATTAAATCATTAAAACTTCTTAAAGAAAAATTTATAAGGAATTAATAATAAATGACGTCACCCTCCCAAAGTGGAGGGGGGGGTATTGTAATTTTGTGAATATGTCACTTGTGTGATGAATAGGAGGGGGTCAGATAGTGTCAATCACACTTTTTATTTTATCTAAATAAGTAAATAATGTTAGACACTAAATTTTAGCAGTTATTTCGAGTTTATGCAAACTTTCTAAATTGTAATAGAAATTGATTAATATACGGACTCTATTGTTCATCGAGCTCAACCAATATTTTAAAAAGAAATTGATGTTTTTAGTAGGTTTGAAAGTTGTGTTTGTGACTCTTGCTATAAATATAAGTAAACTAGTAAACGCTAAAAAAATGAAAAGGAAAACACGACCACTTCAGTTATTTTAGAAGGGATTGCTTTTAAAGAGAAGGGTGGATGGCTAGTAAAAAATCTGGTAATATAGGCTAACAGTGGCGTTTCGTTTTATGGTGTTATAACCACTTAAGTAAATAATTTTAATTTTATAAATAAGACGGTTTCATTATTTAAGTCTAGTAGCATAGTAGTAATAAAAACAGGGTTAATGTTCTCCCGAGTTTCAGCAGTAAAAAAAAAATGAGCACTCAAGATACAATTGTTTGACACAAAAGAAAAATTCAAAATATAGGGCAACGATAATTAACTTTAAGGGAGACTAGTAGGTATTGTAATTATGTACAAAGGGGTCATCCATAAATGACGTCACGCTTTTTAAAGCGATTTTTACTTCCCCCCCTCCCTTCCGTCACACATTGTCACAAAAAGCCAGCGCCACCACCCCCAATGACGTCACATTTGAGCCTACAGTAGCCCCTCAAAATTGCAGCTGAAGCAATATTTTTGCCAAATCTTGTCTGAATGCTGTCAACATCGAGTGTTTTAATCAATTTCTGCTACAATTCACCAAACAATTTTCTAAAACGCGAAATAACGGCTAAAAATCGTTTTTCTAGCATTGCTTTTTTAAATAATGCAAAAGGGTGACGTCACACCACCTAACCCCCCCCCCCCCATCGCACACCGTCACAAAATTGCGGACCACCACCCCCCACCCCCTACGACTGTGACATCATTTATAGACGACCCCATATTAAGCATTTCCATGTAGGTCAGGTCACCACGTTAACAGTTCATGCTGCGGATATATAGGTCACGCCACTCTAGATATTAACCCTTGATCCACTCCTCGCCCAATTTTTTACAAGCTATTAAATTAAACAATTCAAATTACCGCATCAATAATAATGTCTTGCATGACATTACCATTATAGTTACTTATTTAGTTCACATAGACCATTTATTTTTATTTTTTTATGGAAATAAAATGATTGGTGCAAGGTCAATACCATCTGATGTAGTCTAGACGGGATGTTGTAAAATATAAATAATATAAACACATCCTTCTCCATTCTCATACAATAGAAACAGTTTTCCACAACTGCGTTTGAAATTAATGGAAGTTATTTCAAAGTTTGCAACAGAATAATCCAGCAAGCGTTCAAATGTTAAATAACTTATACAAATAATAATAATAAACTAGATTCTAGATCTATTATTTTAATATTTAGTAAAGGTTTTAAAGTAAGCCGTCATCATACGATGATCAGGTGATCGGTTTCGCGACCTACTTTTTTTTAGGCTAAGTAAGAGGCCGAACATATTTTACCCATTTAAAATTTTAAATACAAAGATAAAAACTGAGAACATTGTAGAGAGGCCTAATTTTAATATAACTAGTCTGATTAGGTCTGACCGACTAAAAATGGGGGAACCAATATAATTATAAATAAGTCCTTGACATACACGACGGCTATGGACATGGTCACTATGGAAGACTGAAAATATTACAGGCCCTAATAAAATATATTAGTATTACTATAGATTCTACATAGATTCTAGGCATATGAGATAGTCATTTATACAATAAAACCTTAGTGTAGAGTTGACTAATAGGGTATAATATTTAAGAGTATTACTATTACTATGTAGCTAATCAAATTATTACTAAACTAACAGATCTAGAACTAGACTATGTTTTAATGTAGGCCCACATGATTTTATAATATATAGGGCCTAGATCTATATAGTATATAGTAACATCCATTATATTTTATATAGAGGCTAATTATAACAGTATAACAGGGTTTAAATTTTAAAATTATTTAATTACCACTTGAGCCCTATGGGCCATTGGCAAACGTCATTAGACCATTGCTAAATATTATAAGTTAAATTACACAATCCAATTATTTATAGACTAGGCCTACGTTACATATAAATACGCATATAGGCCTAATAATTATAGTAGGCCTTAATGTCACAAACACTAACTATGATATATGATAATGAATAATGAGCTAAATAACTAATGCCTGACCACTACCATAATAAAACAAAACCATACCTGCTGGCATTTTGATGCGCTTTTTTAAAAAAAAATGCAAAAGTCTCCTGAAGGTCTACTAATTCAAGCAGTAATATTATTGCATCAAACTAATAATGGATAGCTATCAGTGATGCGTGTTTTATATAGGGGAAATTTTTCCTCTATCACCGACCGGTAACTTTCCGTGAGCAGAGCTGTATTCTCCGCCTACTTGTATTTGATTGGTTACTTGCAAGTGCTGACTACGCAGTGTTGAAAAAAAAATGGTTGATTGTATTTATTTTATTTCACCTCGTGTTCTATGCATGACCAAAAAACAAAACACCAGGACTCAAGTATACCAGAATCTTATCTGATAGGTTACATAAATGCAAATATTTCTAAAATGTTGATAACGTAAGAAAAGAGTTGGAAGATGACGAGAACAAAGAACACTCATGTCAGTTCAAAACGAGGTCAAATATCAGCTGTTTCAAATCAAGGTCAAGGTTTATTTTGTATGTTCGAGCCCGATGAAACTCCACAATATTTATTAATAGAATCTCATGCAGGCTTATTGATTATCAACAAAAAAAAAATCAATATATTTTTAAACTAAGTTGTAAAAATTATTTTACCACTAATCTTTATTGAATAAAGTCAAATAGCTAGATTTAGAAATAGATCTAGATCTAGACTTAATGACTAGATCTAATAATTCGATCTCCTTTTAAAAATAATTATTCTTGTACTTGTGTGTGTAGTTGTAGATCTAGTAATTTAACATGTCCAATCGGTCCAAAGTAGTCTTCTCCCAGAAAAAAAAATGGCATACACAATCAAACAACAAAGTGTTAGAGTTGTACGTCATGAGTTTATTGTGAAAACATAGTCAAATAAAACAGAAAAAAAAAGCTAGTCAGTGCATACAAGTGTGTACTAATGAACAATAACGGACACTAACATTACTCACAACAACATTCGCTCATGCAGTTATCATTATTAGGTTTTCAGTTAAGTTATAAAGGGAAGTAACATGACTCTCTTAGATTTTTATTCTTGCTGATGAAATTACTGGATTATGTACGCACATAAAGGAAAAAAAAATATAGGCATATCATACGTATTTTAGCTATAAAAGTGTTGTTTCATTCCCATCCTTTTATAACTTTACATGAATCGTTTATGTTCTTTATTTTATGAAATTATTTAAAAAGAAGCCCAGATTATGTAAGTTTTAGTTAGTGCAGTAAATGTTTTTAGCACGCATTAACTCTACCTTAATGATTATTTTTTTAAAAATATTCTTCAATGAAACAACACTTACAATTAATGGGAAAAAAATGTAAGAGCAATTTAAATATTAATAATGATGATGTAAAACAAGATGAATCAAAAGTTAGGTAATATTAATGAGAGGGTTTGATATTCATGCCTTCACTTGTTACACGTTGTTACATTCATATTATTTGGTTAGTACTGAAAAATAATTATGTTAAATTTTTTAAAAAGTAAAGCTTTAGTATATTTAAACTTTATAGCAATCAAAATTTAGTGCAGTTCAAATTACATAATCTAAGTTCAGAGTACATCAGTGAATGATGTCATGGTTCATGAGTGCAGGTGAACTGGTCATTAGTTCACTAAACTTCACTTGTAATTAGCGACCTGTGGCCACCACCTATATACTTATATTAAAACAAAACAATCTTATATTGTTAGCTACAAGCCATGCAATGTTCAGGTGAATTGTCATTGACTACTATTTTTGAAAAATTAAAAAAAAAAGCACAGCTGACATGAATTGTCTTTCCTTAACTATGATATTATTAAATATTAATTAAATACTACATTTAAATCTTCTAAACTAATTTTAAACAATGCTGTCATTACAAAACTTTAACAGATAAATCATATTTCAACTTTTTAATATTAAAAAAAAAAGTAACTGAAACAACTTTTTTAAATTATTGGTGATTTAAAACTTACTCATTTTTAAAAGTATTTTTAAAATTCTGAATTATTTACACATACTTTATAATTGAAAATTCCAAATATTTAAACCAATTTAAATAATGAGATTCATACACTGCTGACCATTTAAGACAGAATTTTGGCAGACTTCCACCAACAACAAGGAAAAATGTAACATTAATAACAATACAAACATCCATCAGTGCAATTAATTACAGTACAATACATTAATAATAGTTATAATACAATTTTAACTACAGAATTAAAAGGGATTGGGTGAGAAAATTAAAATACAACTGAAATATATTTTACATACACTAAGGAGCAAACTTTATATAATTACTTTCACTAAGGTCCTAAACAGCACTACACTTTTGTTTTGACAAATGGTCAAAATTTAAAACAATATCACAAACACAATTTTTGTTTTCATTAGATTTTTAAAAAAAAGTGAAAGTTAATTATGAAAAAGATAACATTACATGCAATAGTTGTTCCTTTTGTTCTTATTAATATTGAATTGTTATTTTATTTATAAAAATTAAAAACACCAAAGTTAAGTCAGACAGGGTAAAATAAAACTGAATACATAAACAAGACATTTTAGATTAATACATTTAAAAGTTTATATTTACACAAAAGTATCACTGATCTAACCATCAAATTTATATGTAACGTAGCAAGAAACAGAAGTGGCATGTAGCAGCCATCAGCTGTATTCTAAAAAACTAAAAGAAAATCCCCCCAAAAATAATAATTTGATCACATTTAAATAGAAACCCATGTCATGAATGTGACAAAATTAAGGCAATGAACATTTGTGTAAAAATCTCATCCAAAATGGCACTAGTACTTTTAAAGTTTCTTTGTGTTAAATCTTGGGAAGTTGTATGTATACATTTTTAAAAGAAAACAGAAAAATTAATAACAATGAGTGATTACATGACAAATAAATAGTCAAACGGAGAAGAAATGAATGCACTTTTCTTAAATGCTGCTGTGATTATGTACAATCTGAGTAGGGTAAAAGTTTTGATTTGATTTAGCGGACTTTTTATAAAACAAAAAAAAATGAAACACAAAGTTTGACAGCACAAGGTGGCCACTGTCACTGCTAGTTAAAACAAGAACTTAAACAAGTAGACTAAAATCTAGATTATCTAGCAAGTGTAGTGTTAATCACCTGGATCTTCTAGCATGCAGTAATCAGAAAGTTACAGTTTAAAACTTTTCCACTGCCCTGTCACTTGCACAAGTGATGCAAGAATTGAAGGCCAACTGAGGTTAATGTCTCTTTTTTTTTCTCTAATCAGTATGGGGCCAAGCACTCAGATAAAAAAAATAAACAGATTAATGGCACATAAGATAGAAGTAGTTTTAAAATAAATTGTTACTGATTGTCTTTCATTAAAAAATGCAGAATAAAATTATCTTTCCTTTCAATGAAATGTGTTTTACATTTAAAATTTAAAAAATATATTTTTAAAGAAATAACAGTATTGTTATGGTATATTTTAAAATGATTCATAGGTTAATTCAGTACAGTATACACATGACTAAGGATCCAAAAACTCTGCAAGGGGCAAAGGTCATCAGTACAACCACATGGTCTGATGGTTTTCCCAGAGATAACATTCTATTTTTGTCATTGGGATGTTTCAGTATTTATCTTGGGGTGAAAACTAGTGAAAGTTGTCATAGTCCTACTTCTAATCTGTAACAGTATCTTTAAGTGGTGATAAAAGATAAAAATTAACTTTCACCTTTTACATTTCCATTCTTATCTTGGTGCATAAAAAAAAAGTGAGAATTCTCTGCCCTTAAAAAAATTATCTGGGGTCAAAATGTTAACTAAAAAAAATTATCACAACTCTTATTTAATGATTATATAATGAAACTTAATTGCTGCAACCTATTAACACACTGAACTCATAAGGAAAATGTGGCCTGATTAAAAAGTCAGAGAACACAACCAAGAAGAATGGACATAAAATTGGTTATGGTTTCATTGTTATTTTTTTTTTTCCTTTACATTGTAATACGTAAGACATGCTAAAATAACGTTTTAAATTCTTTACATGGAAATGCTGTCAAAGATGAATAAGCCGAGTTCACAAAGAACTATGTTATCTGACCTATTCCTAGCCGGTGAATGAACTTTAAACTGGTTCCAGGTACTTTTAAAAAGTATAGGAAAAATAGGATGGATTAAACAGAGCCTATGTTGTGTGATGTAATTTAGTTCGAGTGTGTGCTCCTCTCCAGGGACAGGTACTTGGCTTAGGTTGGAGAGAGAGCTGAGCATAGTGCTGAGTTACAAAAAAATGTATTTCAAAGTTACAAAAACTGTTGAACTCTCCCCTCAGGAGTTAGAGCAGGAAAGCGAGAAAAGAGAGGGGGCACTCTACTCAAGTTTATATGAACGGCATAAATGGTTAATAAAATAATGTGTACATTTGATGCACATACAACATATTAATTGTACAGCTTTAGTCATGTTAATTCAACAATAGCAATAGTTTAACATAGGAGATACATAATTTCAGATTTATTCTACAATAGTGGTGTACAAAAAGACAGAACACAAATCAACTTTTGGATTTAACAAATATAGTCCTATAGCTGATACATCTAGTATTCTTTAATTAGTAAATTAAACATTCATAAAACAAGAAACAAAAAAATAGGGCTTTAAAAAGCAGATTTTTGTTGTTGCAAATTTTGATTGCCTCCACTACATAGGTCCCCTAAACCACCCATTATTGTCTTACAACACTTTCAATATAGCTAAAACAAATTTCGAGGAATGACTTTAAAAAACTGTATACTTGAGATAGAATAAACAAAAGTTTAAATAAAAATACTGCTCTCACACGTTTGACAATGAGCCATCACAGCAAGCTGCAAGCAAAGACTGGCATTTAATACAGAAGGATCTCATGGTGGTTAACAGTGGCTGGCGAGGATGTATTAAATATTGCTCATGTGTTGGTCAACTCATCAATAAAAACAACATTGACCTCATAGAATCTATTACGCTTATCACAAATGTATTTTAAAGACCAAAAGTAGCATTACAAATAACATTCTGCAGATTAAGAATGTTATGAAAATATACCAAGGGTTTAAAAGTAAAACATAATTATGGGTTAAAAATAAATAATTTGTAATAATTAAAAATGAACCCGCAAATATGTAGGATGAAAACAGCAGTACAAGCGTACAGTTAGTATTCACACATTTTTTAGACTAGATGGGAATATAAAACATGCAAACCATAGTTCATATGTTAGAAAATATAGTAGAAACTTGTGTTGTGTGAAAAACTTAAAAAGTTTGAAATGAAAGACAAAAATAGTAACAATTATACAAGGCAAAGCAATCAAGAAATTGTGCAAAAAATACTACATTGAATTATAACACAGATGAGTTGTACAAATTAAGAATTTCAAAAATACTGACAAAAAACAATTTCAGACTATAAAGCTTTAAGGATTTAGCAAATTACTTTTTAAAAAAAAAATAACAGCTAAATAAGTATTTTGTATGATGAAAACATTCTATAAAACTTTAAGAATTGAATGAAAACAGTTTGTGACATATTTTAAAAAAAAATTGGTGAGAACATGCATTGTACTGCTGAGTTTTAAAAATTAGGTAAACTCAGAAACAATTCACCAAATAAAATGAATTCATCAAAACTAAATAATTTAAAGCATGCAAGTGATGATTTCACATAACTATAAAATGTACATATAAACATAATGTTAATATTAAATTAACCCAATATAACAATAGCTTTAGATATAAAAAAAAATCATGAATATTAAAGGAAGCCAGTGTAAAAAATAGTTGGACTACTGGTCCTTCAATAAAAAAAATATTAACTTTCAGGACTTTGCTGTATGCTGCTAGGATGATACAATTAAAAAAATATATAAACTCATTTTAAGAAATTTTTTAGCTAATTTAGGTAAATTATGTTAAAATAAAACATATAAGATGCTTATTTATATTTGTTGTGGAGAACAACTTTTAAAGATATTTTATTAAATCATTGCAAATATTTTCCATTAGGTTAAGAAAAAAATTGAAAGATACTCTAGTGACAGATGAGTATATGTCATAAGGGCACAGACAATAGTTGAAATAAAAACCTTATAAAGAGATGACATTGTTCTTTGCATACCTGATAATTGAGCTGCTGCTTGGTCCAATCTTTAACAATAGGTCACAGTTTTTATGAAATCAGGCAACTAAGGTCAATATAGGGGACCTAGTGACTACAACATGTTTTTTTTTATAATGATAAAACTGATGGACTTGTGAAATTTCAAGCATGTCTTGTTGCAGTAAAAGTATACACATCTCAATTTAGCCAAGTTAATGATTCATAAAAAATATAAGAAAATATCAGTCAAATAACATTAGACACAATACATTTGCTCTAAGGAAGAAGCAACCCAATGAATAGGATTAAATTAAAAATCTCATTATGTCATAATTTTTTTTTAGAAATTGTATTTATAAATAGGGCCTACATGTAAAATATGGTTTAAAAAAGTGTAATTGATTAGAATTCTTTTATACTATGTAATCTATTATAACATTATAAAAAAAGTTGTAAGATTAATCAAGTGGATATCTTAATGTTCTCAGTAACACCATACTATGGTAAATTATGCTAAACATGAATTTTTTAAGTTTCTCCTTAATTTAATTTCAAACGTTTTTAAAATGAAAATACTTTAAAGAGAGATCCCTTTTCTAAAATCAACCCTGCAGTATGCATATGTAGATAATTGATTCTAGTCCAAGTAGTTCATTTTTATAAAAAAAAACCCCACATAAATCATGTAATTATTACATGGAGTTAAAAGACGCTAAATTATTTGCAAAATAAATATTTACCCTATGTTCCTACTGATGCTTAACATCAAGTTTTGTTTTATTGCAAATTGATAATATGAAGTTGTATTAGTATTGTGATACTTGTAATGTTCTTTTTTCTTTGTTGAAGTTCTAGAGAAAAAGAGTTCACAAGACTAATCCAGGGAGACAACTTCTTATAGGCATCATTACACCGTAAGTAAATCTCAATGGAAGAATTAAAGCATGTTGAATAATTGTTGCTCATCCAGACTGTAATTGAAAATATCAATTGCAGTTAATGTTTTAGTTTTATGCGATGAGATGAAAGGTCCTTTTTTTTTTTAAATTTTCACACAAGCATTGCAGAAATCTTTTTATTATTTCCATAAGGTGGAGGATATTAACCAGAAATTCTGTTGGTCAATGTATTGAGAAATCAAAGCTGAAGTGATATCATATAGTCACTGGTATTTCTTTTGTTCTAAGCTATGTGAGACATCAAACTGATCACCTTAGATCTGATTGTATGGTGGACACGGTGTGGACATAGCAAGATTGGCAACTGGTGCAGCACCAACATCTCCACCACCCCCACCCATGGAAGCAATCATCTGTAAGAGAAATCAAACACTGGGTATTGATCTTCAAGTGTTTAACTACATTTTAACGGACAATATTTTGATATTTGATTTACCAAGTGAAGTGGCGCATTGTTACTAAAAAAAGGAACAAAAAAAAAAATTCTGCAGATAAACTAAGCATTCTGCATATAGCATACAGTGTTGACTAACCTGAAAATGCCTGGTGTTTGGATCCCACTGATAATATGGATAAGATGGCGCCCAAGACATATTACCAGTAGTATGTGAGTCATCATTTTCATCTCTAATTTCAACATGGCCAAACACACTCTCTTCATAGGTAGGGGGTGCTGAAAGTATTGATAATTTAAAAATGTATTGAAATGAAGTACATTAAGCGGATGTGTGTGGGCACAGGGAGAAGTAAACTATTAAGTATTTGTGGATGCCATAAATGTTGAGCAATAAGGAACTGGTATTATGTCTAGATAAAACACTTACGCTCCTGGTAAGGTGGTGGGGCTATGTCTAATGGAGGGGCAGATGGTGAGACTGGAGCATGGAACACTTCACCATAAGATGGCACAGGGTCTAACGGACTTTGCAGTGGTATAGTGCCAATTATTATCTGCTTTTCTATTTGCAGAGATGACCATCTTGCAACAGGTCGTACCTAAAATATTAAGTGTATGATAGTGAATAAAACTGACAGAATAAAAGACATAAATTTTAAAAAGAAAATGTTTAAAGTGTTGGAAAAAAGTATTAGGGATTTAGTAAAAAAGAACTTCATTGAGAAATATCTTTAATGTTCTATAATTTTTATCAATTGTCTTCATTTACAAATAATAATGCCCCTTATACTTTTATCACTTAGAACAGGGGTCTCCAAACTACGGCCCGCGGGCCGGATGCGGCCCGCGAGGTCATTTCATCCGGCCCGCGAAGATCTTTTTGTCCACGGAATAAATGTTGTTAGAGGTAATTGAGGAACTTCGCACAGAAAATTCAAAACAATTTTAAAATGTAGCTTTGGGGGCAAATACCATTGCCCGTCGTGTTGCATACATTGGTGAAAACATTGTGAATCAAATGGCGAAATATGTGAGCAAGCTTCGCCATTTTTCAATTGCAATGGATGAGTTGTTCCACCTCAACTTCTTGTGTTCATTAGAGTGGGTATAGAAATTGGCCTCTGCTGCAGACATAACTAGTCATTTAAATTTTCTGAACCTAAAACGGCAAGAGAGGGAATTCTAGTTTCTTATCTATACACCCATCTAAAGGCCTTCAGATTCAAACTTGTCATGTATTTGGAACAAGTACAGGCCAACAACTTCACGCACTTTCAGCAGTGCAAAGTCTTTACGGCTGAAGCAAAAATGCATTTCCATCAAAGACTTCCAGCTGCAGTTTCAGTAGGTTCTGACTTGGATTCAAAGGCAGAAGAAGTGAGACTGCTTCAAAGCCCCATTTGAAGCAAATGTGGCCAGTTGCAAAGATGAACTGCAGCTGGAGGTCATTGAATTGCAAGAAAATGACTTCCTTAGAGACACGTTCAAAGAAGGGAGATTAATTTTCATAAGTTTTTGCACTAGGAAGAGTATCCTAATTTTAAAAGTTCTGCATCAAAGTACTTTTCAAATTTTGAAACAATATACCTGTGTGAACAAACATTTTCCAGAATGAAATACGTGAAGAATAATTTGAGAGCAAACTTGGACCTCGATTGTGTTATCGCCCCCCCCCCCCCCCCCCCGAAAGTGTTACTTCCAGACTTCTTTCTCCGTGGGGGTGGGGGGGGGGGGGGGTGGGGGTGGACACTTGAAATTTGTAAATATTTCTATAAAAATTATATTTCATGGGGGGGGGGGGGGGGGTAGACGTTCTTCGGGAGGGGGGAGCCCCCTCCCCGAAGAGATGCCTTAAAGAAACTCTGGCCCCCGAACTGATATTTCATTGTTAATGCGGCCCTCGGACTAAAAAGTTTGGAGACCCCTGACTTAGAACAATCTGTAATTAAAAAAAAGCTTCATAAAAATATATAACAAACAAGAGCAAAATCCCACATAACACTTTATTTAAAACCCAATTCAGATTCTAAACTAAGGGAGATAATCATCAACAACTTTGATTTTAAAATATATGTCTTAACAAATAGAATTGATAAAAAAACCTTAGGATTATGTTTGTATGCATGTATGTGGTTTGAATTGACCTTGGAGGTTCTCCTAACATTACTACAATTTTAAGCTTCATGATTTTACAACAAACTGTGATTTTTAAAAATTCTAACAAACATTACATATAATTAAGTAAACGATCTGCTTCATTATCTGATTCCTAAAATGATATTGAAAGCTACAAGTGACAGTCTATGCGAAAACAAGCTAAAAATTTGTTCAAAACTCAACATTAAATTATTTAAATAAAATAATAATATAAACAGCTAGAAAATTAGTATGTGGGAATCAATCAGGAGTGCCTTTCACAAGATATTCATACAACAGAAACTTGAAGGGCAATGATGGTTGCAGAATTTCACATTCCAGCACATTTATAGTAAAGTGGGTATGTTGCATTAATAGCAAATTAGTTTACAAAACAACAGATATCAAGAACACCATCATACTTACATAAACAAAATAAGAGATATCAATAACTTTACAGCCATCAAGACGAGATGGTGGCAATGCAGGTATACATATAGATTGGCTGATGTGTCCCTCTGAATGCCTCTTTACATGGAATGATTCAGTAAATAGAGAAAAGTTGTTTGTTTTTGTGTGGTACTTTGGAAGTCCATGAGAAAAAATACTGTCTGAATAGCCAGTATATGTTACAACCTACGGAACAAAGTAATTGATAAAAATTAAATAAAACAAAATGGAAGGTTGAATACTTCATATATACAATAAATCTATATTCCTTTATAAGAAATTACAGGGTTTTTTAAAGAGTAGAGTTGTTTCCATGCATAAAATATGTCACTGAATGGTTGAGTACCCATAATAGCTAAAAATTTGAATACATTAGTTTGATCATGAGTTAATCCAGCTCTAATGGGTACCTGGGAGTAAACAAAAAGGCTGGACATAGTGTTGACTTCACATATTGATGTAGAAGAAACTCTACTTATAATTCTGTCCTATCTACTTGTCAAACGTGACAGAGTACTTCACTTTACTAATATAAAACCAATGAATAATAAATTTACTAACAATACAATCAGATTCAAAATGAACATGTTTTTAATTATTCTCTTCCTGAGAATAGTTTAACATTTATGAGCTAGACAAACATTTACAGCTTTTCTGAGAAATAAAAAGACTTCAGAAATATTTACAAGGATTTATATCTAGGTTAAGATCATGTTAGCTGTTTGGTTATATGGTTAATAAGATGAGTATGGGCATGGAACATGTATATGAATAGCATTTTAGTGTGACACACATACCTGTCTTAGATCAACTTCAAGCCCTGTTACATCATTGTCTGTTTGGTTGAAAACATCAACAGTGTAATTCAATGGTTCACCAGGTACGAAACCTGTTTTGTTTAGAGTCATTCGAGCTTGAATAACACCTGATGAGCAGCAGCATCCTTCTATAGTTTCCTCTTGCTCCCCCCACACAGGCATCTGAGTAAAGAAATATTCTTAAAATAGAATCTTTGTTATAACAGATACAATGAAAGCCTATTTCTTTCCTTTTTAATTATTTCACTACAAATTTCTCATACTTTATAAGAGAAATGGTTTTGTATCATAAATTAACCAAACTTAGTTTTCATAATCGCTAATTTACAAAGTAATTTTTTCTAAAGTCAATTCAACTTACTGAGGCAGTAGGCTCTGCATTTAAATCTAAATGATGAATTACAGTAAATGCTCGTTTAATGTGCTCATCAAATTTCCAGGGTCGGTTGATGGTTGCCTTGCAGAAGTATCTCACATAGCCTTTCTTCCCTTCAAACGATGAAGGCAAGTTTGAAGACAGCGGAAGGACAAATTGATACGAGTGAATTCCTGCAGGATGTTCTGTACTGTTCTGTCCTATAATTTAAAGTAATACATTTAAACTTCATTTATAAGATAACTAATTCAAAGCATTATAGAAGATAAACTTTATTATTAAGAAATGATGTACAATTTTTTCATTTTTCTTGTGCATAAAAACAGTCATCCAGTTTACCTGTGCCAAATAATGTGACTGTATGGCTAATATAACTCTCTTCTGCTCTGTAGTCTGTTTTATTGCGATTATGCTTCACTTCCCAGTGGGACTTAGCTCGACCCTCAAAATAAAGTTGTAAGCCTAGTGAAAAACAAAAATACTTTTATCATAACAACATAAGTCTGCAGAAACTTGCATTAAATACTATGATAATTAATATCTATAGAAACAGTACAATTAAATCAATTACATACTTAGATTTACACAAATTACAGAGCCTAGAATCGCTTAATAAATATTTCATCTTGAAACTATTCTAATTCTAACTACCTCTATATGCTGAACATCTCATTCTGTATTTTTTAAGTATGGACACTTTCAATAATACGAAATTAAAGAAAGTAGGGCCAAATGACCAATTTTAAGTATAGCTTTTACAAACCTATGTATGTTTGAAAACTAACGAGATTCTGCACAAGCCATAATTAATTAACTAAAATATTATCCTTACATCTCATCTTCATTGGTTTTGTCAGCTTAACCACAACATTCCCAGAAACATTCTCCCCAGCACAAAAGACACCTCGCTGGTTGTCAAAGCAAATCTGAAACTCATCTAATTTCATGATCTGTCATTACAATACACACAGGCCACCTGAAAATAAAATCAGTTACATTGTCAATGGCAAAGCTTAAAGAACGTTTTAATGTAATTAAATGTTGGGGATCTGGAGGAGGGGGGGGGGGGGGGGGAAGGGGGGACGACGGACGACAACACACACTAATATTTTTTAAATCTTAAATTATTTTATTATTTACAGTACTTATAATTTAATATCCCATGTCTATCGGTCAGCCTCAGATCTTGCCCAGTTAACCTTATGAACCAAGGTATCTACAGGGCAGATGAAATTGAGTTCACCTTTTTCTGTAACTTCAGCATATAGTAGGAGTAATATGGTGAGCACTATGCTCAGCTGCCTTTACTTTTCCTAACTTGAGTCAGGTACCTATTAGTTAGACTTAAAAGCTGGGTGGACTCAGGAGCATCAAACAGAATGTTGAGCCCGTAATCTGAACTGAAGAATTTAGGATAACAGTCAGTCAAGAGCTCTGCCATCCAATGTAGAGTCAAGGAAACAAAAATAGTGTCCAGTTCTTTGCAATTACAAATTTGATTAGATCTATATGATAAAATCACCTATCATTTATTCTTAAGAACTTAAGAGCCATTCTAGATTTCAGCACTATTCAATTTTTATTCAGATAGGATGTTTTTTTTTTCACTCTCAGAGTCTGAACTTGTTTTCAGACTGAATGCAAATTTGACAAATAGATCTGTATGCTTTTTTATCCAAGTCAATCATGCTGATTGGTGACTTTCCATCAAAGATAGCTTAGCTATTTTACTATTTTAACTACTGTACTGGTAGCTGATGCCTTGATTCATCCCTCTTGATGAATGATTGGCTGGAAAGTAGATTAAGATTTAAGATTTTTAAGATAGTCACTACTAATAGGGTTGTCGGTATCGGCCGAGATCGCGGTAAAAACATGACCCGAAATCTCCCATTACTTTCTGATACCGGGCGCACGAGATTTGGTTTTCCATACTAATAAGTTTTTAATTTATGGTAATTAATTAAGTTTAAAAGGTCATTTCCTAATGTTAAATGAAAAGTAGAATGGTTTTCCCATTGTTTTGATGACTTAGCGATCTGATTGCACGCTGTCTCTGCTTTGGTCTTCCCCCTGTATGAAGGCTAGTTTCAAATACATTGGAATCACGATTTTTTAAAAGGTTATTCTAGATGAGTGAAGATTACTGAGCAGACATATCTTATATATGTGGAAATGATATTTGTTTTTGGATATTTTGACGCTGACATTAGATATACTCGTTTAGAGGTGGTCACTGTATGTAGGTCGCGTTGCCACCATTGTTATATTTTTTCATCCCGATCTTCCGGCCTTAAGTTTGATCAACTAACAACAGCATTCTTATGGAATGTGCAAACAAATCTCCTAACTTTTTATTTCAAAATATATTTACATACCCATCTTTAGTTTTTTCAGCTCTAGTTCTAGTTTTGCAGAATATGTTTTTCCTAAAATCCAATTTTGTCAGACTAGACTGACAAGAGTCAGACCTAGATCTAGGTTACCTGTCTGTTGCTAACACTAGCATTATGCTAACTGTAATTTTAAGTATTCAAGTTCTACTTACCCTTAGATATAGTTATATGCTGAAAATCAGAATCCATACACAATTCACACATAAAAACATTGATCTGATAACTTCATTTCACTTATTACAAAATGGCTTTTATATGGACTCTACTTCACCTGCCCAAAATAACAAGGCAGTTATAGACACATTACAGTGTTCAAGTCATTTACTTTAGATTTCTGACTATGGAGTTCTTTCATTCACTGTATTTATATAAAATATTGCTTTAGAAACATTTTCATATTTGCGCAGCAGTTTTATAACAAAATGGCTTAAAGATGGACTCTACTTCACCTGCCCAAAATAATGAGGCAATTATATGCACATAACAGTGTTCAAGTCATTTACTTTAGATTTCTTACTTTGTAGTTCTTTCATTTGCTGTATTTATATAAAATATGGCTTTAGAAACATTTTCATATTTGCGCAGCACACAGTTTTTTGGGGTTATGGGAGGAAGCCAACACAAAAATATAACTTCTGTATTATTTTTATTCATTTCAATAGCATTTACAAGTTCTATATATCATTCTAGTTAAACTCTGCAAATATGAACAAAATACAACTGCAAGTAAAATAACTATGCTCAATTTATTCAGGTATACCATGACTTGTCACAATTGGCCAATGCAAAAGTAAGGGGATTCCACCCCTCACAAAAAAATTTGCTAAAAAAAAAACTATTTGAGCTAGACAGAAAATCTTTTTTGTTTTGTTTTCATATAGTTGAGCTCTACAAGAATATGTAATTTTTATTTTTATATGATGATTAGTGTTTTTTTACCAAAATCCCTACTACTAATTAACTAATAGTACAATACTAACAGTAACACTAGAGGAGCTTACACTTTTCGGACACACATAGCGAAAAAACGCAACGTAAAAATTCCATGCGGTCTCATTCAGTAACCGCTTAACATAGAAAACAAAAAAAAGTATCATATCTATCCGCAACCATTCTACTTTAATAATGTGTGTGTCATTTTGTATTCATACGCATAGAACTTAAGCTATTCTTGTTATAGTGACTGGGGGGTCTTAACGTGTGTTCGAACACATGTAATACAGTTTTACATGTGTTCGGACACCTTTACCCGTCATCGGACATAGCACTTTTTGTTCATTTAGAATAATTTAAAGTCAATTTAATGAATAAAAACATATATTATATGCATTTATATTGTGTTATTGATTGTTTGTGAGGTAATTTTAATAGTATAAAACCTTTTTCCCACACTCCCAAAGTTCATCCCATTCAGCCATTGCGGCTCGCGCAGTACGCTGCTAAGCCAGCCAGGTCACATGATTCCCCCTCCTCTTTCGCATTCCACTGCCTTCTTGACCTTATTTTGACCCTTTCCCTTCAATAACCAGCCCCTTTTATGCTCTAAATTCTTATTTAATAATATTTTTGTGTTGCTGTCCGGTCCCATGTAAGGCCAAATAAGTTAGCGAACACCCCTTTTTTATTGTTCAAGCACGAAAAAACCCATTAACCTTGACATTTACGATGTTCCATACATATATAGAAGCTATTTATAGTGTAACCTTTTAGCTAAGCATTGATTGGTTCAAGTTTTGCCCCTAAGTCCAACCCTAGGTCACTTCATCCGGCTGGTGTAAAAATAGAAATGTGCGTACCATGCAACGTTAAAAAATTTCTAAAAATGATTCTTGAGAAAGGAAACGGAAGTACTTGACACGGAAGTGTTCATAAATGAACAGTTTACGTGCAGGCGCCGTGGTTTCGCGTGAGACATGCTAATTAAAGTTTCTATGAGCCAAAAACCGACGAAGTGTTCGGTCCTACGTAATTTTTGGTGTGTGTCCGAAAAGTGTAAACTCCTCTAGATCTAGATCTAAGTCACTACATTTCCAGTGAGTCAGCACTATGAGAAAAAAAGCTACAACTAGATTAACACCTTGGCTTTTAAGGCTACAGCTTAATCTAGAATCTTGTAGTGTAGTCAGTAAGCCTGACCACTGAGTACTAAGTCACTAGAATCTAGTGTTGTTTAAAGTTTAAAGTGTAGAGTGTATGTAGTGAGTAGTGTAGTTTTTCTTTCGGTGGTCAAGTTTGCCCAATGCTCGTCATATAGCCAGAAAAATACGGTCTTTAATATAAAACAGCTATAATAAAAACATACTTACATGGATTAATGAAACGTGTGACTGTTTGAAAAATACTTTAAAATTAAGATGTATGAACAAACTAGAGTATAGACTGTTCATTTAGGACAAAATTAGTCAAACACAGTGAAGCAAATTTGGTCGCCATTGTTATTGTATAATTCTAAAAAAAGCAAACGTTTCCGAAAGGGATAACGAAACAATTTTCTGGTTTGTTTTTTGCTTAGGCTAGTTTTTAGCAAAGTGCATTCATTAGGCCTACTTAACAATAAAATATACCATTGTACATTTTTTAAATTGCATGAATTCCACAAAAAAAACCAATTATCGCTATTTGCTATTTAGTATACATTAAAGTCAGCTTTGAAATCATCGTTAACATGTCTCGCTATTAAGAAATTAGGCCTACAACATCCTCGTCTTTATATATTTGCACAGCCTATGGCATGCAAAGAATCAATGTTGCTTAAATGTCATAATGTCAAAAACGTGACGAACGAGAATTTATATGTATTCATTGAGACCGTGTCATTTTGTTAGAAGGAACAAGCTATAGCTGCTTTATTTTGGTCGTTTTAAACTTGCGACGATTTAGCTTTTGGTGGTCGGGGGAGATGGATTTTACGACGGACATATGTTACGTGGTAGACCTAGGTTTAATAATCATAAATAAAAAAAAATTGAAATTAGAGATCTATTTCTTAAACTTTAGCTTGGTTAAGATACATAGATCTAGATCTTTTGACTGTCATTGATATGATTATAATATTTATTATTGTGGTCGTAGAAAAATTCAACAAAATTATTTGAAATAATTGAGCAACCACCGCTTTTACTTGTTAAAAATAAGCTTTTATCTTTGTTTACACTCGCTTTGTTGATTTTTTTTTTATTTGCGTGGGAAATCTTTTAATTCATTTTTGACCCACTTCTAATGCAGCGATATCGATCAAAACTTTCCAAATACATTCGTTTCCAATGACAATAACATAATATCAAAATTAATCTAACAGACATTACATTAGTCATCCGTGGCCTAGGTGCGGTGTCACCCGGCGCGCACCTCATGGTATTTAATTACCGAAAATACTATAATGTCAAATCAGTGGCGTAGCGAGGTCGGGTGTCACCTGAAGCAGCACTTAATGGTGTCACCCCCTCAAACTTTCGATGTGCAGCCCCTCCCCCTCAAGTTTTCGATTTGCAACCCCCCCCCCCCCCCTCAAAATTTCGATTTGCACCCCCTTCCAAGTTTTTTTTCTATATATTTTGCTATTTTTTGCCTTGGTGTCACCCCCCTAAATGGTGTCACCCGGTGCGGTCCGCACCCCCCGCCCCCCCCCCCCTCGCTACGCCTCTGTGTCAAATACATCCAATCTTCAGTAAAGACCAACACAAAAAAATCAGTCAGAATTTAACAACCGTATTTACTTTAATAACATCGTGTATTATATTTAAATATTTAATGTGCCTCTAGAGTAATTTCGAGACTATTCTCGGTAGGGCCCAACGGTAGAAATAGTCTTTAATGAGCTAATTATATTTATAACGGCAGAAAACGCAAAATGACGTAACTTAGTTTTATCATAGTAGCGGTGGTGCAATTAAAACATCCTAATCCAAACTTTGAAGTTGCCCAGCGGTCAATTTTCGTTCTGCGAAAATGGTGGCACAGCTATATCACTAAGATTTCCGAAGTTGATGAGACCCAACTTCGACTCAGTTATAGTGGGAAATTGACCCGAGGCCTGAGGCTTTGGCCCTAAAGATTACTGGGAGTAATGCAGAAACTATTCCTTCATGTGTCTATGTCCAAGCAACAGATGAGTTTTTTGAGATGTTATACATTAGTCTACACGCCACGCACAAACACTTCAAAAACACGCATAAACTATTTTTAAAACAGCAACACGGTTAAAACAATAACACTGCAAGAAAATATCACAATTTTATTATATTAAATGAAAATGGCATTTTAACAAGTAAAATCAAATATGAAATGAATAAGAAGTACAAAATACAGGATTTCTATTATGAAATCTTAAGTGGAAATTTCAAAACAATATGAACATTCACAATACAGTGCAAGCCATTCGCAAAATAACTTAATTAATAAAGATGCCATTTTTAGATTGTTTACTCATTCTCGGAAACAATTATCTTTTATTCTTGCTCGCACAATATTGAGGCGTACTTTGCATTCAGCCTGCCTATTTCTTCATTTTATTTCACGCAATAATTATTCTCTGTCTTCTTTCATAGTATATAGCCTAGTGTACACAGGGGCGTAGCAAAATATATAGAGAAAAACTTGAGGGGGGGGGGGGTGCAAATCGAAAATTTGAAAGTTTGTCCCCGGTAAGGGTGGCTACGCCTCTGGGGGGTGACGCCATTAAGTGCCACACCGGGTGACACCCGACCTCGCTACGCCACTGAGTGTACATGATATTTGTGAATATAACTTAGCCACAAGGATGGGTAACATAGTCTCTATCCACGTAAGTCAATGTTGCCGACAACATCACCAGGCCGTATCTTTTCCTACAACCAGTCTTAACCCATATACTAGCCTTAAGGTTTACCAACCTGTCATAGCCAGCGATTAGGTTATACAGTTGTGGATATGCCTATATTTATTAATTTTAAAGAAAGGTTACAAAACAATAATTATGATATTTATACATTTTAAATACTGCATCAAGAATGATAACTACTTAATGTGACCATATTATTTTCACAGCCAGGATTGGGAAACATACGGGGATGTTTCATTACTTATGACGTCCACAAAAAGGAGCTTTTGCCCCCCCCCCCCTGTTCATAAGTATCCAATTAGAAACGCCACCCCACCACTTCAACGAGATGTAGACGTCCACACAAATATAATCGGTCTTTCATAACTTACTTTATATAGTACATAGTAGGTCCTATTTGTACACTGCAATTCGAATAATTTATATAATGGTTAGCCCGCTTATTCTCTACGGAAATGTCTGTTACTATATATTCTAGGTATATTCTAGATTATGTCGTACTTAGAGGTTAACTAATGATGAGCGCTTGTTTATTCTAATTGTTTTCAATTCAAATAAAAACTGGTGGGAATTCTATGTTACCTTTAGAAGGAAACGAATAACATATTCATTTAGTCGTCTGTTGCATTATAATTAGCCATTTGTTGTTTCCCACATAGCAATATGTTATATGAAGTGGATACAGTGATTTAACTAATACTTAGTTAACCAGTTAACCAGCTTTTTTTCTACAGAACAGACTACTTAAAAAATTCTTTTAATGTAAACATGTTGGTGTAAAATACAACTTGGGACGTCCACATTGACGCCCCCTCCCCATCACACAAAAGTCGACTAGTCCGCCCCTCATTAGTAATCGTGGACGCCATAAATGGAGCATGGTAAATAGATTTAGAAGAGACGCACATTTCTTTTGAACATTTCAAAATAACAGTTTTAAATACAATTCTGTACACATAAAAAACATATCACAGAAGTAGTAAAAAAATGCGGTACATCAGATCGAGTGGTTCCAAAGTTTGATGACTGGGCTATTGAGATGTAGCCTAACATTATTTCAGTTGTAGAAATCGAGTAGAAATCTGTTAGGCTAATGTGCCTACTTTGTAGAAGTGATTACAAATACTTATGCCGGCTTGGCTCCTTTCACAGCGTTTTTATACAAGACCAATACTCTTTAGCACATTTTGTTGTTGCTGTAATTAAGTGTAGGCCTAAGTAAAACAAAAATTCTTGAAATGTATATCTGCAGATGATGAGCACTAGATGACAGATCAATTGGCAAGTTGGGGCTCAATGGTTTCGAACTCAGCGAGACTCAAACAATGTCAGCTTTACCGTCTTTGTCCATCTTAGGATAGCCGAGTATTTCCGGGCTAATAAATGGACCTGCAAAATCTATAGAAACAAAACAAAAATAAGTTTCATCTTACGAATACAGATCTAAGACTTTACCGCCTTTGTAATTATTTCGACTAAATGCTTAAGTCAGAACAATTGTTCTTTAATACTAGTTAAATTTATTAGGGGAGAATCAAGAGAATCTGCCCTGCCTTTGAGATTACATCCAGTACACACTTCACACTCCTTACGAATAACAACAACAACAAAAATCACATATCAAAACAACAACACGTCTCTAACAATAAAAGTTACAAATTTGACTTACTTGAATGCACTGGAATAGGCCTATATGGTGGTAGCATTTTTTGATTTGACATCCACGAGTTATTAGGCTCCAGGCGTCTGTTTAGTCTCCTAGCAACCAGAAAGATGAGAACACACAAGACGATGAACACAGCAACAACGGCCGTGATGATGACCACCTGGAGAGACCAGGGCAGTGTCTCGTCCATCTTCGTTAATTGTGTGGTTGTGTTAAATACACCACTGGCTTCCATCGTGGCTGCGATGATATTCAAATAATTAGAGCGTGACTAATCTGATAAGAGGATTCTTCTAACAATAGATAATTCGCAGAAGTGCGGAACAAGCACGAGTTTCACATACATACACACACATACACACACATGCACGCAGGCACGCACATATATATATATATATATATATATATATATATATATATATATATATATATATATATATATATATATATATAATTATTGTGAAGGCTATATGTATGTGCCTGTACATGTGTTTGCGTGTTTATGATGAACGCAAATTTTTTTGTATTACGGAGCTGGCTTAACGTAATGTTCGATTAATAATTAATGTTTATATTTATGCCAGTTTTGTGCCAGAAAAAGGGTGCCAGTACAGCATTATAAACAAAGAGGAAGAATCAAAACTCGTGTTGGCACAATACCTGCTGGCATTGTTTAAATACCCACTAAACCGTGTCTCGGATATTCGATCTCCAAAAGTTCAAGTTCCAATTTTAACTCATCTATATCTATTCACCAATTTCCTAGAAATCTTTTACTTGTATAACTAAAGGCGTTAAGACGTTCATCGGGATTCCCCGAAAAAAAAACAACGTGACGCTGGAAATAACTACCGAAGTTGCTTTATTTTTTCGTGAAAATATTATTGCCGTAAAATATCGATCACTCGTGCCAGTACAGTGACAGGTGATCGCAGGTATGACAGTTCACACCCAGAGCAGTGCCAGTCAGCTCCCAAAATATCAGCTATAGTATCACAACAAACATAAAGGGTAACTCAGCATTGATCTTAACAGCGCAAACACTGACATACAGTTTTATTAAATGTCAAGGATTCTAACCAGTAGGCTATATTCTAAAAATTGTATGCTGCCTCACAGATTTATTTTTGTTAAAACATTTTTGTAATTTTTAACAAATGAAATTGTGACATCTCTCTCCTTCTTTATATATATATATATATATATATATATATATATATATATATATATATATATATATATATATATATAAATTATAATCCTTAATTAAAAAAGTATTTAGAAGGCCCAATCTATTTATGCAACGTGCGTATAAAGGGGAAGTAACTTCAAATAAAGGGGAGTAACTAGTGATAAAAGTGAGTTAAATTACTCCAATGACTCTTTGTGTAATTATTATTGCTCGATTAAGTTCTTCTCTTTAATAATAATAGCTGGTAATAACGATAATGTTTTACAAAAAAAACAAACTAGGAACCAAATTACTCTCTAATTTGTCAATCAATATCAGTTTTTTTACTTTATCGACTTAAATGGAGAAAAATAACTTAGAAAATAGATGGTGAATAGACTACTTGTTCCATCAATGATGGTTCTACGTGGTGTTTATTTTTTATAAAATAATTTTAAAATATATTCAAGGCCTTTAAATTTTTTTTCTTTCAGCGTTTGACTAGGTTAATAAATCTAAGTTGCCTATGTTAACAAATGTTTTTATGTTAAAAAAAAAAAGATTTAACTATACACTTTGTTGCGTTGTAAATTTTTATTTATCGAAATAGCAGATATGACATGCTTTTTATAAATAATTTGTATGTGTTGAAAAAATTAACATACCTGCAAAGATTCCCTTTCTAAATGATGAGATTCAGACCACTATGATGACTATTGAAAGACCAATGTGAATGCTGTAATACAGACATTGTCTATTTATAAGACGGTCCGTGCGGAAATTTCCGCAAAGAATTTGTGTAACATTTTACTGGGAAATGAATTGTGGTTATGGTTTCTACAGTAGAAAGAAATAGTTTACAAGATCCATGTCGTTGGTATGATTGTAGTTATGTGTTTGTTTGGGGCAAAAAAAAAAACAAAAAAAAAAAAACAACTAGAATTTCCGTTCTTTTACCGTTGTTCATTTGAAGTAAATTTTAATATTTTATTGCTTTTCTGAAATATTGTCATTTTGGTTGTGTTTTGTATTTTCCTGTTTGACATAGCGCTATTATACGTGTTAGTCACACGTAAGCGATATTCTTGGCTTTATTCAAGGCTCTTTAAAGTTTTTTTTTTGTAACCAGTGGAATATCAATCAAGATCTGGGTATGGGAAATCGATTGATCCAGGAGAGGGTGTAGTGAAAAAAGGGGAGGGACAGGTTTAGTTGTTTTGGGGTGGTTAAGTTTGAAAGGCTACCTAATCTGACCTTCTTACTATAAAAAAAAAGCAAGCATAAACGACATACTTGAGGATCCTGAATATCATACATTACAAAAGGGTAGAGACTGCGTACAATTTTGTTACGCGTTATATAGCCTACTATATATGGGTTAGGTGTGGCAAAGAGCAATTATATAGGGGCCTTTAAAATGCCTTTGATTTTTCTTACTCTTATTTGGAAAGTATCTGCTGGTGATTAGATAAATAAATCGACACAGCGGGTTTGCACATTCTTTCTTTAAAGCTGTTGTTTCTTAAGACGTGGTGTCAGCTGAAATGGTGTGATTCATGTATTTGATGTGAACACTCCGCTTTTTCATCACCCAGCTGTGTTGGGGAGGGTGGGTCAAGGAATCTAATATAATATGAGGGGAAATGTTATCTACGGGAATGTTAATGTTGTATGAATTAGGGGTGGGTAAACTTGCACAAGTTTGTGTTATATAATAAGAGCACGAACCTATATTATTCCTAGGTAAAAATAAATAACACTTCCAACAGTGTAGCAGAAACGGCATATAGGTTCCAAATACACACTCACCAATTTCATTGGTTGAGGTTACAGAGATATTATCATTTAATTTACTGTAAAAACGCAAACGACTTAAAAAGCTTCGGTTTTTACAGATAAATCATAACTAATTGGCGAATCAAACAACACGAACAATCACTAAAACAACACCAATCACAAAAACAACATGACCAATCACTCAAACAACACCACCAATCACTCAAACAACACCACCAATTACTCAAACAACACGAACAATCACTCAAACAACACTACCAAACACTCAAACAACGCCACCAATCACTCAAACAACACTACCAAACACTCAAACAACATGACCAATCACTCAAACAACACCACCAATCACTCAAACAACACTACCAAACACTCAAACAACGCCACCAATCACTCAAACAACACCACCAATCACTCAAACAACACCACCAATCACTCAAACAACACTACCAAACACTCAAACAACGCCACCAATCACTCAAACAACACCACCAATCACTCAAACAACACTACCAAACACTCAAACAACGCCACCAATCACTCAAACAACACCACCAATCACTCAAACAACACCACCAATCACTCAAACAACACTACCAATCACCCAAACAACACCACCAATCACTCAAACAACATGACCAATCGCTCAAACAACACCACCAATCACTCAAACACCACCACCAATCACTCAATTAACAATTTGAAATATAAATCAGAGGCAGAAGTAGAAAAAAGTAAATCTATTCAGCTGACAATTTATAGAAATCTTCACCAAAACACTTCTTTTATATTACCTAACTATTAAACAAAATAATAAAACAGCTGCACTATAACAGATCAAGGATTCAATGGAACAGGATGACATAAATGTCACATAATGTAGATATGTTGTATTGACAGAACAAGGTAGCCTCGATGAACAATAAATCATTTGATATACAAGTACACATGTGGTGGCTACAGACATTTCTGCTTCTTCTAAATTTCCCAATAAATGTATTTATTCCTTATAAAAAATTGGTAAATATTAAAAGCTGGTTATATTTTAACATTAAACTACTTGATACAATAACATAAAATTAATTCAAACCATAGTCCCACTGAAAGTACCATTAAAAATTTGTAAGAATATGCTAATTTTCTCCATTTTCCCTCATACTAAGTTATACAACATACTTAGTCTATTACTCTTAAGCCAGGCAGACTGCAACAGGATACAGAATAAAGTATTTTAGTCCCCATGTTGCTAACTGCTGGGTTCTGCCCAGGGTTCCTTCCCTGGTTCAACCCCTAGTTTGGATACGGCGGTTAAGTCTTAAGTGGCAAACTCACAACTTTTGGGTTAGCAAAACATGCTCTACTACTTGACCATACAGAACATGCTAATTTACTGCCTGGGTAATCTTTAATTTGTTTCATAATAGCATGTTAACTTTGACTTAAAAGTGACTTGTATTAAAAGCTACAAAATTACTTTTGTTTGCTTAAGTTCTTAAGAACACAGAAGAAGAAAGAAGTAAGAACGCTTAAGTTCTTAAAATTTAAAGCTTTAGATAAAATAAATTGTAATTCAAACTATTTGCAGCAACAGCTTAGAGTGAAGCGGATATCATTCTCTTCTTGTTTTATTTAAAATTAGCTCTATTTAATTAATAAAATTTAATACAGGACTAGTGTTCAACTAGTCTTAACCTACTGTAACCACAAAAATCATTTTGATTCTATAATGAGCTTGCTAAGAGAGGTGACAGAAATGTGTGACAATAACCAGCAAAATGAAAGAAAGCTAAATGTGAACGTTTACAATTAAGTACTATTTCAACTTTTTGTTAACAATTAAGTACTACTTGAACTTTTCTGCACAACATGGACAGAAAAAAATATTTCTGGTGGTATAAAGTGTTAGGAAACAAGATTATACACTTATGCAATCAACAAATTTAAGTTTGCTGCTGATGCTGTTAATGTGCACAAATGTGACCTTCTCACATTTTTGATCAAATTTGCTCCTAATTAATTTTAGGATGGTTAAAAAATACCGGGCATTTCTGATATTATTTTCCAAGTTCACAAGTTTTTGATATCTTATGGACAAGGCAAGTATTAAAAACGAGTATTATGATGTAATGCATTATAAGCTTGTTACAAACATTAAAAAATCATAGACATTATTGCTATAGATAAAATTAATTTTGTCTACTTTAAAATAATAATAGTTGACCTATTTCAAATGTACACGTTAACTAAGCTTACAGGGTTAAAGAAATATAGAATTTTCATTAAAAAAAAACATGGACTATTTGAAGGTAATACATATTGAAAATAAAACAAAATTCTACAAGTTTGTGGAGAGATACTTACACAAAGGTTGTATGTTGTGTATAAAAATGCAGAGCTTTGATCTGAATGCAAGAAACAAACTCTCAAATTGAATATTTGAATCTTAAGTACGTTCTAATCTAAACAAGAAAATATTAAACACATTTTCAAAGGTGAAAAGGAGGGAATTAAAGCATAAAATTAGTCTATAATAATAGTTAAATAGTAATAATAATACAATAATTCTAATAACAATAAAAAATAATAATTAATTATAATACAATTTTAACAAAGAATCTTTGGATAATTTTTCTTCTATAAATTTTGTTAAAAGTTTGTTAATAAATAAAATTAGTCCTAAATTCCAACTTAGCCAATCGACTATTTCAAACACATAAATTTTAAAGGAAAATATCATTTCTATACAACTAGGATGCCTAAATTTATAGGTAGCACCAAATTTTACAAGCATCAAGTAGACTAGAGTTTACAATTCTGGCCCTATTCATAAAAATGTTTTTATAAATCAAATAAATGTGAGTTCTTGGAATGTTTATTTTTAATGTGGAGTAAAAAAAAAAGTAAAAGTAGAGTTTAATAAAATAATGTTTCACAAATATGTAAATTTGTAAGTAAGATAAAAAATATGTGAAATATTTCAGAAATATTAAATGCTACTCAATCTATTGCTTGCTTTGGTAGCTTTAAAAAAAAAACAACCAAATAATGTATTAGAAAAATAAAAATATGTAGGCAATGTTAGGCACAATGAGTAATGTGCTTTTCAACAACAAGAACAGTTTTAAGATATTGTACAGGATTCACTTTTATGTAAATAAAATGACTATCACTCACTGTAGTATATTTGATCAATATTTAAAAAAAAAAATTAACAGAGTGTGACTATAACAATGGAAAATAATTAATATTTTTCCCTTTGTACTAAGAAAGTAAAGTATGAATGCTTTTCAAGATAAAATATCTTTAAAGAAAGATCTACAAAGTAAAATTTAAAAAAATAACTTTTTAGCTATTTATTTCACTTTGTAAAAATAGTGTTAATTGTATCACACAATAAACATAGTTTATATTGGCTATGTTTAAAGTATTTTTTTTACTTAATAGCTAAAAATATCACAGTAGATAATAATTAGTATAATTTAAAATTGTAAGACACAGTGTTTGAAATTATATATTTCACTTAGCAACATCATTTTAGCGCTTGGTTTGCATTAAAAATCATATGAAACATACTTTTGATGATTGCTGTTTTATTGAATCCTATAATAGTTTTCTTCTAATATACAATTGATAAGAGTTTAAACATGAGATAGTTGCAAATAGTTGTAAGACAAAGGAAGGGATTATAGAACTGCCACTGGCTGCTGTATTACACTCACTATGTCAGTAAGTGCTCAGGTTAATTAAGAGGGAAAGTATGGCCACTACAAGTCTGTCAGCACCAAAAGCTATTTTGAAATAGTGCCAAAGATATATGGGATGGAAAGATTAAAAAAATACTTTTTCTAATTATATCTAATGTTTACACTTACTTATCATGGAATATTTTACAAAATTCTTACTAAAGATTGTCATATCTTACAAGTCACTTTTTTGGATTGAGTAAAAAGTAAAACAATAATTATTACTCAGGAATACAAAAATATTTTGTCCGTTTCCTAATTGGTTTTCACCATGTAATCAGTGTTAAAACTTCTTAAGACATAAAATTTTAAACTGTGAAGCATGCAAATTTTAAAATCTATACTTAGGGTCTAAAATCTTTGCTGCTTCTGGCAATAGGTTCTTCTCTTGGCTGCCTGTCCTGGAGTACTTGTGTAGAAATCATGAACGGCATGTCAGTGCTAGTTCCATAATTTTAAAATATCAAAGGCAGATAATTTTCAATAAAAGTAGAGTACAATGAAAAAATGTCTTAGTTTTTAAAGGAAATGAGATAAAATATATTCAGTTGTATAAAAATCATAAAAACAGGAAATAATGACTAGAAATCGCCAGTAAAGTAGTGGTGTAAACAATATAACATTGGAATAGAGGAATGTGATTGTATAGGCAATGTTCAAGTAGATATCAATGATTTAGCCATAGCTGGACTCCTGTGATATAGAAAATTCAATTTCTTTCACATCAACTGGAGAGGGTACAGAGTCTTGAGATTGTATTGTATTTTGACTATCTTTAGAACTGCTCTCTCTCAGAATATTCTCCGTAGAAGAATTTGTATAGTAAACTTCATGGAATGGTACAGTTTTCATTGTAACATACTGATCTCTTGGGAATGTAGAACTTGTTGGAGCTGCTAATGAGTTTGATGCTGAACTCCCAGCCAAAGCTTCACGAGGTTCCTCATACAACCTGGAAGGATCTTGGTGAAGTATTGCTGTGACTAATATTGTGGAGGAAGTTGAAGGTATGTATGAGAGAACATCAGACATGTGGTTCTCCATCTCTTGTTGCTCTAGATGGAGGATGGGAGCCTCACTGGTAGTAACACTCTCCCAGGTAAAACTAGCTGCAGGTGTGACTGGGGCATTCCTGTAAGCTGATACACCTGAAAATATTGGAGAATGTTAATGGCTGGAATATTTCACTTATTATATGACAATACATCTTGAATTATTTTTATTTTCTCTCTCATATAGTACTGACTTCAGCCTGGGAATGTGCAACTCAATGTTGAATCAAGGGTGTCTCTCATACCATGTTGCCAGCTAAACCTGTTTGTTTTTGGGGGTAGGGGACTTATGTTAGCTGAGAGGAGGATGGGTATGTGGAGGCTATGATAGGGGAATTAATTAATTTAAAAAAAAAAAAAAACTACATCTAAGTAATGAGCCATGTTTTCACATTATAATTTTAATAAGGTTACTAATCAGGTAATTAAACAAAAAATTCCAATTTTCTGACTAAATAAATAAGGCAAATATCAAATGTTACAAATGTTACACTTTAAAAAAAATAATCAATTTAATATAGATCTATACATATTTCAGACATGCCAACCATTGGCGACCAAAAGTAGGAACAGTCATACCTAAAAAGGACTTTGAAGCCAAAAGAGGAACATACCTGCAGATGCTACTTTAAGCATTGAAAAATAAATCAAATCTAATGACATTATACACAGTAGCATACATACAAGCATAGGTTTAGTGTTTAGTAGGCCTTTAGTTATATTTAACTAGTCTCTAGGCTAAATCTAAATACTGTTTAATGTTGACTTACATTTTAAAAAAAAATTAATCAGTAACCTGAGAACCTCCTTCCCCCCCCCCCCCCCCCCACAATAAAAACTATACCTTTCATATAATATTATTGATTTGATTCTTCTTGATTTGCTATGTTCTAGG